ATAACTTAACAAACTAAAATTAAATAAAATTAAATAAAATCACAGCCTGTTATAACAGACATAAGAAAAAACATCATATATTAATGTATTGTGTCAGAAGCGGACCAAGGGTAGAGTTGTAATGTATTTAAAAACACAAAGTTTTTAAAACTTGGTATTATATTAAATGTCCTTGGAGTGCTCCTGGTGTTGCTATAACAAGGTCCTCCACTGTGCATGTGGCAGGACTCAGACTATATTGTAATAGGTAGTCTGTGGTTCGCTTTTTAAAAACTATTTTTAATTATTTTTAATCTGTGGTTAGTTGAAATCATGGATCCAGGGTCTGCACACAGTAGCTCATTGTATAATAACTGTCTGTTGAGAAACTATTTGAGCAGAAACTGTGGAGATGGACAAGAAAAGGTCAACAGATAAGATAAAGTCTGTGCTTTTTATACCTGATGCCTTAAAGCAAAAACTGGGGGCTTATACTTACTGGTGGCTTTCAGATGCTATAAGAAGCTTCAAACAGCCAGGGGCGGCTCAACCCATTACACAAAGTAAGCCTTTGCAGTATACTTGATTTTACCCAGGGGCGCTCTTGAGGGAATGCTATAACAGCAGCTCTAGCAGGATCCTGAGGAGATCCTCTCTCTCCCTTTTGTAGAACATCCCATGAGCAGGAGACATCATTGATCACCTCCTTCTCTAGCACCCTGGAAAACATCATGCCAGGAGCTTGGTGGCCACACTACTCACTTGATGTCATGTGCCAGGTTTCAGTATCAAGGCAGAGATTACGTAAACAAAAGCACAATAAACCAAAAAATATATTTTATGTATGAAATGTCTTACGTCTTTCAAGGTCCAGCCAATATAATAGAGTTGCAAAACACAAACTGATAATAATGCAACAATGCTAAGGCCAAGAGTCCAGTTAGTGAAGGCAAGCCGAGGAGTACAGAGTTAGGTCAGGGACAGCAACAACCAATAACCAAGGTCACAGTTCAGTGGTGAAATGCCAGGAGTTCAATTGTCAGGATCCATATGTCAAAGGTCAGGGATCCAGGAATATTAACCAAAGTCAGAGTTCAAACGTCAAGTCAAGAAGTCAGGAAAAAAAACCCTGAAGTCAAAATCCATAAACCAAAAACCAGGAACTCAGAAATACAAACTGGAATAGGTTATGGAGCAGCTAATTAATAGCCAGCTGCATTAAATCACTTCTGACCGAAAGGTCATGACTTCAAAGCCATCCCGGTTGGAGTGAGCTCCTGGCCATTAATAGTCTACTTTATTGTTGATCTATGCAGCCCAAAAGACAGTTGCATTTGTCAAGTAGGAAATTTAGGTACCGCTTTATGTGGGGAAGCTAATTTAATTAATTTACGACACCATAAAATCTCCAGCAGTGTGCAAAAGAATGAGGAAGTACTCTCTGAAAGGCCCTGGTGTCACAAGTGGATGGTGAAGTGACAGCTCCCCCTGGTGACCGGAATCAAGCATACCCTCATGAAACCAGAAAGCTGGAATATTAAATTGCCTCTGTGTCTGTCTATATATGTTGTGTGTCTAATGGCATTGAATGTTTGCCATGTATATGRGCATTGTAATCCGCCCTTTGTCCCCCGCGGGGTGAGATGGGCGGAATATAAATATTGTAAATAAAATAAAATAAATAAATAAACTGAAGTCAAACTTCAGGAATCAAAGTGAGGAATTCAGAAATACATATAGGGTCTGAAGTAAGTGTACAAGGAGTCAAGGTCAATCCAAAATTCCAATACCAGGAATTCTGTTACTGCGACTGTGTTTTTTTGTATATTGTAATGTTATTTTGTTATTGTATTTCTCTTTTTTCATGTAKTTTTGATGATGTTTCTTGTTGTTTATGTTTTGGTTTTATTTTGATGTAATATGTTGTTCAGGCTTGGCCCCATGTAAGCCTCTCCGAGTCCCCATCGGGGAGATGGTGGCGGGGTATAAATAAAAATTATTATTATTATTATTATTATTATTATTATTATTATTATTGGAAACCAAGGGCCAGTATAGTCGGAGTCTAGATTAAAGATATGTCTGCTATGCAGAGCTATTCCCCAGAGGCCTCATGGGCCATCCAGTCAAACTCCCTGCCAAGAAACAGGAAAATTGTGTTCAAAACACCCCCAACAGATGGCCATCCAGCCTCTGCTTAAAAGTCTCCAAAGAAGGAGCTTCTACCACACTCCGGGGCAGAGAGTTCCACTGCTGAACAGCTCACACAGAATCTCCTTTTATTCCTATAATTTGAAGCCATTATTCGTGTCCGCGTCTCCAGGGCAGCAGAAAACAAGCTTGCTTCCTCCCTATGACTTCCCCTCACATATTTATACATGGCTATTGTATCTCCTCTTAGCCTTCCCTTCTGCAGGCTAAACATGCCCAACTCTTAAACAGCCCCTTATAGGGCTTGTTCTCCAGACCCTTGATCATTTTAGTTGCACCCTCCTTTGGACACATTCCAGCTTGTCAACACCTTCCTTAAACTGCATGGCAAAGTATTCCAATTCTGGGCACCGCAATTTAAGGGAGATGTTGGTGTTCTTGTCCTCTTATTATATTCCTCCAGATTTAGACATTAGTTCATGTAATTATAAATATCAAAATATATACAGAATTTATGGCAACAACATGCTGTAAGCTTCTCATCAGTGGCCTATTTTTTTATAGTTGCCTTGGAGAAAAACTGGTGAAGAACAGCATGAAACTTCTGGTCAATGACATTTTCCCCTATGCGTGTGGAGATTGCCAAGAATTTCTGAATTTGGTGAGCCTTCTCCAAAGCATTTCTTAGAAATGGTGTGATGTCACCGACCCTACTTTTTTTTTCTTCAGGATGTTTATGGAGAAAAAAATCACAACAGTTCCGTAAAAAGCTGAAAGATTTTCAGAGGCAAACTCTTTGTTCCCTTTTCAAGCCCCCAAATGCGATATATAAAGCCAGCTTCTTGTGTTTTCTGCCTTCATTCTGTCTTTGCAGCTACAGGTGAGTCATGGGGAATCCCAATTGGATCCAAATCTATTATTGCTTTAAACATTCACTGCCTCCTCTCAGTAGAAAGGGACTTCTAATTGTCAACTCAGAGTTTGTCTACTCTGCCAATTAATGCAGTTTGAAACTTCATTATATGGTCAGTGTAGATGCATATAATGCAGTTTAGCTGCATTGAACAGCATTATATGAGTCTACATTGACCATATAATGCTATTTGCGATTTCAGGCTACTGGTTGTCTGTTTGATGGTTAATTTTATATTGTGTTATGCTGTTGTTGTTTTATTTTGCTTGTTGCTATTTTATGAATTTTAATGAGTTATATTTTAACTATGATCGGGCGTGTTCCCGTGTAAGCCGCCCCGATCAACATAGTTAAAACATAACACATTAAAATTCATAAAACAGCAACAAGCAAAATAAAACAACAACAGCATAACACAACATAAAAACAACCATCAAACAGACAATCAGTAGCCTGAAATAGCATCTTTGGGGAGATGGAAGCAGGATGCAACAATAAAGTTGTTGTTGTTGTTGTTGTTGTTGTTGTTGTTGTTGTTGTTGTCAAAGGCTTCCATGGCTGGAATCACTGGGTTGTTGTAGGTTTTTCGGGTATGCATTTGTTTTGGGGGTATGCATTTGCCCAAGGAAGAACATTCCTTTCTTTCTTTTTAAATAATAATAATAATAATAATAATAATAATAATAATAATAATAATAATAGATGTTGCAGATTTGCAAGAGCCTTTGCCTTTTTCTTCCCTTCCCACCCATGCAATCTTTTTCTTCTTCATGACTTACAAGGGCTCTTTCTCTTTTCAAAACATTCCCTTCTCGCTCTCTCACTCTCCTTTTCTTAGAAAAATAAGAATTTTCCAAAATGGGCAACTCCAGCCAGGGAGAAGTGGTGGAGTGAGGGAGGCTTTGAAAAACAAAATGTACTGTTAAGGGAGGAGAGAGAACTATATCATATATATCATCACTCTGAAAGCTGTTCAACAGTGGAACTCTCTACCTCAAAGTGTGGTGGAGACTCCAATGGAGGCTTTTAAACAGAAGCTGGATGACTATCTGTTGGGGGTGCTTTGAACGTGATTGTCCTGCTTCTTGGTAGTAGGTTGGACTGGATGGTCCATGAGGTCTTTCCCAACTCTATGAATGTAGGATTCTATTACAAATGAGGGCTCGGAGCCTTGACCCCATTATAAGTGGAGGGAGGCTTTTTTGGCTACAAAAAAGGGCTGAAAAAATTGGCTTATCTTCGAGTATATACAGTATTCTTTTCTCTAAGGAAACAATTAGTAATGTTAGCAATTATCTTTCCTCTCTGAGAAAATCTTTAAAAATCACACATTTTCCAATTCAAAACTTCTTCTGGTTGAAATTTTCAAGCAACTATTTTATGCAGAAAATAATATTTTTACGGAGTCTTTAATTTGTTTAGTTCCTGCCATGTTCCAATTGTGCATGACAGATGCAGATGGATGTTCTATTTCAAAACTCATTTATTCAATTCTAGTGTTTTCTCTATACTGATTTTGTATTTATTTTTGGGTGCATTTTTTAAAATTCCAGTGTATACCTAGACAATAGGGCTGGGCGGTTTCGTTTCGTTAATTCGTAATTCGTTAATAATTCGTTAATTTTTTCAATTACAAAACGATAACGAACCATTCTGGAGCAATTATTAAAAAAAACGAATTTTCAAAAACGTTTTGTAAATGCTTCGTATTTTGATATTGTATTCGTTTTGTTATTGTTTTGAGGTCGTTTCGTTATTATTTCCGCATGTCTGGGCCAGTTTTATGGTTTAATTAGTGAAAAAAAATTATAATATCACGCCAACAGTCAACAACAGAGGGAGAGGGAAGCTTCAGAAGGTTTTGGAGGTTTTTTAGCGTATTTCGCGGTCGCGTCCGCCATTAACGAATCGATTCGTTATTGTTTCGGAAATCGATTCGTTAATTTTTTACCATTTACGAAATTTCATAAATATCGAACTTTTTAAAAGGAAAATGTTGTAATTATTTTAAATATCGAAACAAAAAAACCCCCCAAATACAAATCGATTTTAGAAACAATTTTTTCCGTTGTTACCCAGGCCTACTAGACAATGTGTATATTGTTGGACATTTTTTCTCACAATGATAGTTATTATTATTATTATTATTAAACTTTATTTGTACCCCGCTAGCATCTCCCGAAGGATTCGATGCGGCTTACACAGGCCAAGGCCTCAAGACACAACAAAACAATATAATCTAAGCAAATCAACAATTAAAAACAGAATAAAGCAAAAATAAACAACAGGCAAAAAACAATACATTAAAACACAATAGAACTGGGCCGGGCCAGAGTAATGGGTACAAGAATTAAAAGTGCTGATGTGACAGAAGGTGTGTAGCTTCTAGGGCAAGTGCGATGTGCGATGTGCAGCAATCATTGGTTCTGATAAAGTGCTTATGGGACTTGGTAATGGAGATTTCCTAATCTGGGAAGGCGCATCGGAAAAGCCAGGTCTTCAAGTTCTTTCTGAAGATAGCCAATGTAGGGGCCTGTCTAAGGTCTTTGGGGAGGGTGTTCCAGAGTCGGGGGGCCACCACGGAAAAGGCCCTGTCCCGCGTCCCCACCAAGCGCGCTTGCGACGCAGGCGGGATCACGAGCAGGGCCTCTCCAGATGACCGAAGTGAACGTGTGGGTTCGTAGATGGAAATGCGGTCACGCAGGTAGGCTGGTCCCAAACCGTTCAGGGCTTTGTAGGTAAGCACCTGCACCTTAAATTGGGCTCGGAATATAAACGGCAGCCAGTGGAGCCCCTTGAACAGAAGGGTTGACCTCTCTCTGTAAGGGGCCCCAGCTAGCATCCTGGCTGCTAATCGTTGGACCAGTTGGAACTTCCGAGCCATCTTCAAGGGCAGCCCCACATAGAGCGCATTGCAGTAGTCCAATCTTATTATTTCTTACCCCCCTTTCCTCATGGATCAAGGCGGGTCACAGCACAGTCAAAAACACACAAATTATATAAAAAAACTACAAACATACATATTAAAATTCCTCACTCCCTAAAAAGTGCACAGATTCCTGATTGCCAAATTAGTCTGGTTTTTTCATGCAGGTTTGTGGTGAATGGTTTGGGTAAATCTATGTAGGAAAGTGTCAATGCAGTTTATTCACATTCATTCTTATAAGTGATTTTTCCCCCTGAACACTGTTTTTCCCCAGGTGGCAGACATTTCTTCAGAAGGGGATTTCACGTCATCATGAAAGCTGTTCTAGGACTCTCCATTTTCTCTGTGCTTCTAAGTACAGGTAGGAAATTCTATTAACCCTTTTGCTGCTTGCAAGTAACCTATACAAATCATCTTTTGGGGTCAACAAAAAACCAGCTGGCATTGTTTGGAGTGGTGTGAGGGATGTAAGTAATGACTCAGGTACTTTTCAAAAATGAAAACTTGCATATGTCAAAAACAAAAATGGAAAAGGATGGTAGGAACCCTGAATTCCTAACAACCTTGGCCAACAACTTCTTAATATGATCAGAAACAAAGGAAGTCATTTCCAGTTCTTTGAAAACAATATTCAAAATATTTTTTAGAATGCCGGGTTACAGCATTACTAAAAGATAAACAAACATATAATCATTTTAAAACACTCCATAAAATACATATATTAAAGCATACTCCCATCGCATACACATTAAAAGACACAAAACAAAAATTAGTCATACATTGGAAGTTCAAAATTCACCACTAAAACTGTCTGGGTAGGCTGCTGGAAGAGATAGGTCTTCATTTGTATCTTAAATTCCGACAGCTGATTCAGCTGTTGGAGCTCTACCGGCAGGTTGTTCCACAGTCATGGGGCAGACAATGAAAAGATCCTCTGGGTAGTGGTTGCCAGTCTAGTTTTGGCTAGTTGGAGTAACTGGCCCCCAGAGGACTTAACTGTGCAGGGCAGGTTGTACGGCAGAAAGTGATCCTTTAGGTAACCTGGACCCAAACCATGTAGGGCTTTTAAGGTCAAAACTAACACCTTGCACCTTTCCCAGAAACTAATTGGCAGCCATTGGAGTGACTTTAGGATTGGTGAAATATGCTTACTCCTAGATGTTCCTGTAACCAATCTTGCTGCTGTATTTTGAACTAACTGGAGTTTCTGAACTTGATACAAAGGTTTCAGAAGTCCAGCCTTGAGGTTACTAGTGTTTACACTACCATATTCAGGTCCTCCAAATCCAGGAAGGGTGCAGCTGGTGATAGCATTCATGACTGTTGAATCTACCTGGTATGTCATTTAGAGAGACTGATCAAGGAGCACTCCCAAGATGCAAACACAGACTTTAGGGGAAGTGTAACTCCATCCAGGACTGGTTGACACACTTTCACCCCCAGATTAGGACCCATGATGGCAAGCACCTCTGTTTTGTCTGGATTCAGTTTCAATTTTTTTCCCCTCATCCAGATCATTACCTTCTCCAGGCATTCGGTAAGAGGGGACATGGTTATCCTTAGCTGTAGCTGCTTTTGAAGGCATTGAGAAATATATTTGGGTGTCATCAGCATACTGATAGCACCCTACTCCAAGCATTGATTTCAGTCTCTTGATCAAGAAAAGAAATAGAAAAAGTGCACAAGCCATGTAGCCTTTTCAGTCTTTCTCTTTCCTCCCTTAGGTGCCTCACTGGAGTGTGAAACTTGTACCAGTTCAAGCAGTATCTGTACTGGCAGGATGAAGACTTGTAGCTATGACGAAGACACCTGTTTCATTCTTTTGAGTGAAACCTCAGGAGGTGGGTGAGAAGAAATATAAACCATTGGTGCCTCTTTTGATATGGACATTTCACAAACTATTTTTAAATCCACCTCAATTATGTTTGGTATTTGGCCAAACCTCTGGCTGGTTAGCAATTTATAAAAATCAGCAGGCATGATCACAGAATCACCAGTCTTGGTAAATTATCTGATGAGGACAACAGAAAAGTCACGGTACATTTTAGGATCCATCAGCTGCTTTGGTTCTTACCCAACCAAATGCTTTAGAGTTCTACATTACTCAACAAAACCCAATATTAAAATTTAGGTTGATTTCTTGAACATTTTTATGTTTTCTGGGAACTGATCAACAAATTTGACATTTGGGGGTGAATTGTGTATTCATTGACTCTATTTCTATTGAATTCAATATGAAGCAATTGTAAGGGTTTTGGGAATACCAACCAAAATCTATTTTTCATTTAGTTCATAAGTGAATGTCTACCCAGACTTTTCCTATGTATTTATTTAAAGGCATATATGTAACTGTAGCCTAAATACGCAAATCCTTTCTGTTCTCACAAGCAATGTAGGATCAGGCATTGAAAGAAAACCTACCCAGAATATCATACATGGTTGACTATATAATGAAGGCAATGGCATACTGCTCCTGTTTAATTCCCACTCCAAGAAAGCTTTTTGAAAACCACCCTGTTTTTGAAACCCACTTTTAATTTCAGAATTCTGCACAGAATTTGCATGCGGTTGTTTTCTGCAGAAAATATGGAAGAAACAGATTTTTCTGAGCAGAAAATGAATTTCTATGTAAATATATTATTTTTCTAACAGAAAATGTTTACGATACAGAAAATACTGCAGCGGTGGTGTAATTGTATGTGCAGACACAAAGCAGCCACAGAAAAATTATAAACTGTGCCTTGAAGACTTCAGGATAACTAAACAAATTCTTTTTCTGCTTTTGCAGTCGGAGTAAAAAGTTATGTCGTAGCAAAAGGCTGCAGCAACTCCCAGTTCTGCAAACGTGAACCCAATGTTCTGAATTTTGGTCAAAGAAGATTCCAAAGAGATGCTGTCTCCTGTTGTGTGGGAAATGAATGCGCTGGAGTCTACCCACGATGTAAGACTACAGTACTTTTTTTTGCTTCTGTAAGATGTTCACAGCCTGAGCTGTCTTCTTTCTCTTTCCTCTTTTTTTTCTAGCACTGCATCTTCCAAACAAGAAACACAGAAAGGTGTTACAAATTTCAGTACATTCATCATTAGATAAAGGTTTTCCCCTGACATTAAGTCCAGTCGTGTCCGACTCGGGGGTGTGGTGCTCATCTCCATTTCTAAGCCGAAAAGCCAGCATTGTCCGTAGATACCTCCAATGCCATGTGGTTGGCATGACTTCATGGAGTGTCATTACCTTCCCGCAGGAGTGGTACCTATTGATGTACTCACATTTTGCATGTTTTCGAACTGCTAGGTTGGCAGAAGCTGGGGCTGACAGCAGAAGCTCACGTCACTCCCTGGATTCGAACTCGTGACCTTTTGGTCAACAGGCTCAGCAGCTCAGTGCTTTAACCCATTATTTCACTGTGCTCTGGTGGCTTGAGTGCTGGTCTAGCACCCTATGTGTGACTAGGGTTCACATCCTCATGAATTATATATAGCCATGTAGGCAGGTTATACTCTCTTAATCTCAGAAAAAGGTGAATGTTGAATCCCCTCTGGACAAATTTTGTCTTGTCTACATCGGCCAGTTAAACCAAAACTGAAATGTTATGGGCCTCCCCAGAGAAAGCCATATACACCATCTTGAACCTGCAGATGGGATGGTTCAGTGTCCAGATGGTCTAGCTTAGCCAAGAATACCTTGACCCATCTGGACTATCACTTACACTTTGGGCCAAGCGTGGACAGCATGACCAGCTTCAATCCGAACCTGTCTACTATGCATACAGGCCAATTCTACCTTATCTTTTTCCCTTTCCTTAGTGGCACAAAAGGGGATAGATCATGTTAGATAGAAATGGCAAAGCATTTCTATTCATAGAATAAAACACTGTTTGATGAACATATGGTACATTGAAAGCACCTGGGTACTGACTATGAATGTTATGATGCAATACTGATTCATAGCCATATGAGAGTTATTGTGAAGGTTTGCATCAGCCAGTGTCCCTTACTGATGACCTGTCAGCAGGTGGCTGTAGAAGGAATCCATCTTTCTCTCTGCTGTGTAACTCAGTGTGAGTATCTGCCTATGTTGTATGTGACTATTTGATGACTCTGACTGTTTGCAAGCACAAGGCATGAAGATCTGCAAATCCTGATTGTGTATTTGTATATATTGCTACAGTGAAGATTAAAGCCTTCTGGCATTTTGGATGAAAACCCAAATCCATGAGTTTACTAAACAGTGTGTAGATAAGGGCAGATGCTGGCAGTTGGACTCTGCTGATAGATGGGCTGAGGCATGTTTTGCTGTGAAAGGACTCTGCTGTATTTTATTTGCTTCTGGGATATTTGCTATCAAACTTGCAGCAGTTTGTAGAGGTCATGATTTGGAAACTATAAATCACTTCATGTACCAGCATCCCATGACAGATCAAACCCATTTTATTCCTCCCCTTCATTGAAGCAGGTGGTTAGGGCCTCTCCCAGAGCTTTGTGGCCATTTGCTGCTATAACTGAACAGCAAAGGTAAGGTGTCAGTGTAGAGGAGGACAAACCAATTTTGGCCCTGCATGGTGATCTGGACTCGATCCCACCACTGCTGTGGGAAGAACATGGAGAGTAGAGCCACCCTTGGGGCCAGTCTGTATTTTAGGGTAGGTGTAAATGAACCCTAAGAGAAGATGATCAGGATTTTGTTAACTCAGCTATTATATTTCACTAGTTCATGAACATTTTTTCCTTTTTAGTGAAACCTATAAATACTACAACCAATGGAAAGAAATGTCCAGCATGCCTTTCTGTGACAGGAAGATGTCCTTCTGAGGTGGTGCAGTGCACTGGATTTGATGATTACTGCTTTCATATGGTCACACCTGGTATTCCTGATTTTTATGTTTTCCATGATTTTTGAATTCTTTCTGCTAGTCTCATGTGTGAATTAACACTTGACTTTGAGGTTGTTAGTGGAGGTTTTCTACCAAACTAATGACACATGTATATCTGTATATATAGATTGTACATCTCTGTGTAGTTCAGAGTGCATATTCCTTATCCGAAATGCTTGAGGCCTGAAGTACTTGGGATTTTGGGAAACCTGTATTTGCATATAAGCACATATGATGGAGATAGGTCCCAATTCTAGACACAGAATTTATTTATGTTTAATATGAGTCAAATAAAGCATTAGTTTCACTGGCCAACACACACTTTGGTGCCTCAAATGTTAGCTCTGTTTCTGGGTATATTTGACCAGCTTATTCCTTTATCAGCTCTAGTTTTTGAGATGCAGAATGTATATCATTTAGCATTCACCATCTGCTCATTCATAGAAAATGATGATAACCCTAAAAGGAACAAAAGCTGATGCAGTCTATTCAATGCAATTTTCTGAATCAACACATTCACAATATTAAAAAAAACCCAAGGAAAGGCCTAAAAACCAAGAATATATATTTGGTTGAGCTGTGGGTTTTTTCATATATATACAGGTCCAGTGAGTGATTATACTGACTGCTTCTTTCTCTTCTTTACATCTAGCAATAAAAGGCACAGTAGTGACCACAAAGGGCTGCACCACGAGCTCCACTTGCAATAAATTTCAAGCCACACAAGGGATTGGATATTCAGAAGTAGAATGTCAACAAGCCAGCAAGGCTTCTTGGATACCTGGATCACCCCTGCTGGTTCTTTCTGGGTTCCTATGGATGAAAGTCTTCTACTAATGTCCACCTTGCAGTGCGTCTCCTTGGCGTGGATGAATGGTTCTTCACTATTTGAATTTGGCTCTTTGTAATTATACAAAAATTATTTCTCTTGGGGGAAAATAGACCTTGACATATGCAAGTTGTAGTTACTGGGATGTATAGTTCACCTACAATCAAAGAGCATTCTGAACTCCACCAATGATGGAATTGAGCCAAATATGGCATACAGAACTCCCACGATGAACAGAAAATATATATCAATGATTGATTTGGGGGGGGGGGACGCCAAAATACTGTTTGCTTATTGCTGAAAATTACCTAGGGCCAGCTCTGTCTATAAGTATGGTTGGAGCATGTAAAAATCAGTTGGTGAATGTGTTAATTGAAAAATGTAAAGCACGAAGCTGATTGGTTGAACCATGCCCAAAAGCTAGCTGGGAGTTCTGGCAACAGTTACATGTTTTAAGTTTTTCTGTGCAGGAGCTTGCCAAGACAGTATTTTTGCTTCTTGGCTGTTGGAAGAAGACCTCTCACATAGACACCCAAGAACCATTTTGAATCTCTCAAAAGACATTGTGTGAGTCAATGTGACTGTTCATATTATTGTATCTATGTTGCTCTGCATAACAAAGAGTAAACACATTATTCTTTACTGATCATCTGTGTGGTATATCTTTTCTCTAATTAGACAGTATGCTGATTGGTAAAGACATGAACTATGTATGATTTTTATCCCATGAAAAGGGATATCACAAGAAAGAGGCTGGTGAAAGAAAGAAAAGAAAAGAAATTGTGGAGGTGTTTTGAAAGATGCTTTCATGCTATCTCCAGAAGGTTCAAAATGTAAAGTGATGCAAGACTGGATTATTTTACTTCACATATGCAACTTCTTAGTCCCAAACATAAATTTGCTGAAATATTGTGTTTCCCCTAAAATAAGACACTGTCTTATATTTATTTTTCCCCAAGAAGACACACTATGACTTATTTTCAGGGGATGTCTTATTTTTTATTAAGTACTAGCCATCCCCTGCCACGTGTTGCTGTGGCCCAGTCTGGTGATCTGGAAAATAAAGTAATGAGAAAGTGTTGGTTTCTAATATATGTAATTTTTAATGCTTGTCGGTAAACAGTATTTCTTGTTGTTTCTTTGTCAGTGTTGATGTGGAGATTGTCTGGTTTGCCTACTCTGGAATATGCATTGTCCTTCTTTAGGGGTCCATTTCAAATCTATGATACTATATCTCTGTGTGTGTGTGAATCATATCTATCTATCTATATCTATGGCTGGATGGCTCTTTGGCAGGAGGGCTTTGGTTACATTTTCTTGCCCTGGTGAAGGGAGTTGGACTGGATGGCCTTAAATATTTTCTGTTGGTCATGGGGGTTCTTTGTGGAAATTTTGCCCCCATTTTGTCGTTGGTGGGGTTCAGCATGCTCTTTGATTGTAGGTGAACTATAAATCCCGGCAACTACAACTTCCAAATGTCAAGGTCTGTTTCCTCCAAACTCCACCAGTGTTCATATTTGGGCATACGGAATATTCGTGCCCAGTTTGGTCCAGATCCATCATTGTTTGAGTCCACAGTGCTCTCTGGATGTAGGTGAACTACAACTCCCAAACTTAAAAAAAAACAAAAAAAACCATTGAACAAAATGTCAATGGCCACCAAATCCTTCTGGTGCTTTGTGCTGGTCATGGGAGTCCTGTGTGCCACGTTTAGTTCAATTCCATCACTGGTGGAGTGCAGAATGCTCTTTGATTGTAAGTAAACTATAAGTTCCAGCAACTCCCAAATGACAAAATCATATATTTTTGAGTGATGGTCACTCCTTGTGTTGTGAGACGTTTTGTTGCCAAATTTGGTGTGATTTCGTTCATTGGTTCTTTTGTTTTTATGGAACTCATTATGCAGAGAGCATTTATATATATATAGATTGCATACTTAGACTTGGCAACATTACATGCAAAGGGCTTAAGAAAGTAGTATGAAATAAAAGTCCTAATGATTTTAATAGATCGACTCCAAGTATGAAAGAAATCTGGTACCAACGGAATCTAGAACCAATGGATTGCGCTTGCTTGTAAACTTTTAAACTCCTATTTGACTTGTACATGTTCAATTTGATGTCTAATATCAATATCATCACAGATCCTTCTGACCTCAATTCCTTAAGATGTTGCCAATCATTATGAAGACTTTGCCAGGATACTTCCTCATCTTTGCATTTCTAATGAGTCAAGGTAACTGATTTGTATCTTTTCTCAATTTGAAAAAAAAATAGTAATCTTTCTTCCTGCCCCAGTCACCCACAAAGATTTCAACACTATTCTTAATTTGATGTTCCAACTAGGAATTGTAATTCATGCAAATGTACTGGAAGTAATATTTTGGCATTGGAATCAGGACATTTTCTCTAAAACTGACTGGGCAGAAATATTGCTTTTTTCGATTTTTTTCACCCCCCCAGGAAGTACGTTTTTCATGGAAAAATAGGTGTATGTGCATTAACAGAAAATATTTTACTCACTTTTAAGATTGCCAATTATAGCTTGTGGTTTAAACAGTCAATAGATATGGCCACACCTAATCCTGTTGAGGAAGATCTCTGTTGTTGTATACAACAAAAACGAAGCAGAATAAAACAGTTGCTCATATTGTGCAGGCGGATATGGATTTGTTTCCTTCCCTTCTTTTCAGGTGAACCTCTGAAATGTGAAACATGTAACCAGGATGGCTATACGTGTAGAGGACCGCATTGGCCCTGTGACGATCACTTCAAAACCTGTGTTGTAGTATTAGTTGAACACACACATTGTGAGTCTTCTGTTCAGATAAATGCATTTCCTGATATTTCAATAAAATATTTAGGACCCCATAAGAGAGTAAAGAAAGGGGAATTCGTTAAGATCATAATACTGGAAGTCCTGGTAACAGAACCAGCTGGTGCAGTTGACTACACGATTAGTAAAACATAACTGCTTGTGAATGTTCTTTTGTCCAATGTTGCAAAGCAAGTATTCTCCATCTCCATATGCCCCATCCCTCCTCCACTCCACACCTGAAACTTGCTGTCATGGTTGTACAGGGACCAAATGTAGAGGAAGGGGGGTATTATGGAGTCACACGGCTCTAACTGTAGTTTTCTGATATGACCTACTACACATGGTGGTGGTCTTTTTGGATTGAAGAAAAATGCATTATTTGCTGCTTGGGAGAAGGGGAAGTTGGCCAGACATATAAGAGATACGTGGAATGTGATGTTTGTTGAAATTGGCTGACTCAAGGAAGGCATGGATCAGTGAGAATTTATATTTCTCTACTTTGAGTAAGTGAACTGTTTATTTGCAGATGGAAAACCTCAACTGAGAACAGTAAAAACCTGCGAGCACACACGTTTGTGCAACAGGAGTATGAGTTATCTGAATATGGGTCAAGGGAGATATGAACGGTCAAGTATCGTCTGTTGTATAGGGGAGGCCTGCAAGACTGCTGTTCCCCGATGTAAGTATTCTGGAGGTTGACTTTTCTTTAGGTCTGGAATAGCACCCTTCCAAAAATGGTTGGGCAACAGTTTGCAGGGGCACTGAAATCAGCAGCTGAGCGAAGAAAAGAAGGCTGTCTAGTTCCAATCATTGCTTTAGGTGGAGTCCCATGAGGACCTCTTTCAAAGCAATAGGAACTCTCTTTTTCTGATGACAAGCAACACTGAGGTTGAACTGCCATTCTTTGGGTAAATCCAAGAGGACCGTTTGATTGCTTTCCTTCAGAGATCGTCTGCAATATTCAGAGGAGCACATGGTAGGGAAGATTTTGCTCTCAAGTGCAATGCACTCTTATGAATCACAAGGCCAAGTGACTGATGTAACCTGGCCTTGAAAAGCTCACTAAATCCATTGGTGTTGGAAAATACGTGCTTCTAATGGAGCTCCCCAAACTAGTTTGTTGATAGAGGCCTCTTCTCCATATTTCTGTTAATCTGGGGCCATTGTGGAGCAACCTCTGTCCCCTGATACACACACATAGACATACCTTTTGTAGTGTCAGCAGAGAACAAAAGGATAGCTATACCTCTTCTCCATACAAGCTTTTCATCCAAGTGCCTCCTGCTGCATGTCCATCAACATGAAAAGAGCTGGAGGTGTATCCATCCCCCACCAGTTTTGACTGTAGCTGTTGGCCTTTTCATGAGTGCATTATATGTCCTCTGAAATTTTGCAATGACCTGAGCTTTCTGAAATTATGTGTGGATGCAGACTCTAGTGGTCCTGCATATACTTTGTACTCCATCCTGTACACATATCCATTCGGAAATATACCCTTCTATATGGGTATCCAGTTAGGATTTTTATCTCATTTTGGAAAATGGGGTTGATGTTTGATTGCTCACATAGCCTGGCTTGATGGGATAAATCAGAGATACCATTTTTACATGCACATATGATGAACCCCTTTTATTGTCTTTCAGTCCAACCAGAGCTCATCAAACCCAATGGGAAGTCCTGCCCGGCCTGCTTTGCCCCCAACACTACTGGGTGTGGATCCGCCAGAGTAGATTGTTCTGGAAACGAGGACTTCTGCTTGAATACAATGCAAAGAATTTCAGTAGGTAATACCAAATTTTAAGTTTTCCAAGGACTATGAGCTGGTATCACATAATGGACCTATGTAAAGCAAGGTATTTGTGAGGTAAATGATGAAGAGTTTCAGACTTAGTAAAGAGCCCCTGGTGGTGCAGTAGGTTAAACCGCTGAGCTGCTAAATTTGTTGACCGAGAGGTCGCAGATTTGAATCCTGGGAGCGGCGTGAGCTTCAGGTGTCAGCCCCAGCTTCTGCCAGCCTAGTAGGTCAAAAACATGCAAATGTGAGTAGATCAATAGATACTGCTCCAGCGGGAAGGTAACGGCACTCCATGCAGTCATGCTGGCCACATGAACTTGGAGGTGTCTATGGACAACACCAGCTCTTCAGGTTAGAAATGGAGATGAGCACCAACCCCAGAGTCAGACATTACTGGACTTAATGTCAGTGGAAAACCTTTACCTTTGCCTGCCTCAGTTAACAAAGCCTCTGATAAAGAAGCTCCTTTTTACATTGCTTTTTTGAGCCCCACATTCTTCCTTGACCTCTATGAATGTGGCATTTGGGGGGTAGAGAAGAAAAGCTGTCTCCGGAATCCCTTACTGAGAAGCAAAACAGGAGGAAACATGAAGAGCAATATACCTGCCTCACCAGCATGTTTTAAAGCTTAGATCTTTGTTTCTAGTTCACCAAAGTGGAAGTCCCCAAAAAAGTCAGAGTGGGTGAAAAAAAAAAGATACCTCTGTGTAGTCATGTGCATTTGGGACTTACCTTGATTCGTTTCGTGTCCTGGCTTTCAGGAAGGTCCCCAATCCATTTTTGTCTGAGCCTCCCAAATTTGGAAGGTCAGATAATTGTTTTTTTGTTTTCGTTTCCATTATTTGGGGGGGGGGGGCTTCACGCGTATGCCCAAAGCGACCGGACCTACGGGTGCAGGTTTCCAGCCTATGTGGCCGGGCCTAGCAGGACCTGCAGCTTAGGGACTAAAAATGAGCACTCCTGACTAGGCACTCAACTGCATGCCCTGCCAGGCTCAAGTGTGTAGGCCTGATGCCTGCACCCATAGGCCCCAAA